TGATGATGTTGGTGTTGGTGATGATGTTGTTGGTGCTGGTGATGATGTTGTTGGTGCTGATGATGATGTTGTTGTTGGTGCGGCTGATGATGATGAAAGTGTTGTTGTTGTTGTTAATGATGATGATAATGTTTTTTTGTTTTAATTAGTTAGCTCGAGCACCTTCCCATTTTTTAACATAAATCACCTTTAAATTTGGTTTCGAAATTGATTTTATTTAGTATTCGATTGTCTGCCTTGTTAGGTTGTTTATTTAACTCACATACATAATGTTTTGTTTGCACGTGTGTGCGTGTGTGTGTGTGTGTGTGCGGGTGTGTGAATGTGTGTGTGCACGGCATGGTTCAACTCGAGAAAGTTAATTAGTTTTTTTATTCCGACTCTTGAAGGAGGAAAAAAAATTTAACTCGACAATGTTTCAATTATATTTGAATTGATTATTATTGTTGCTGTTGTTGTTTTTGTTGTTGTTTTTGTTGTTTTTGTTGTTGTTGTTGTTGTGATGGTTATTTTGTTATCGTAATCATTGCATGCGCTCAAACCTGATTCCTCTCTACATTCATATTGTTGTTATTATTTATTTATTTATTATTTTTATTGTTATTTTTATTATTATTGTTGTTGTTATTATTATTATTATTATTATTATTATCTTGAAAGGTTGCTGATTGTTAATAATACCCCTATTATTATTATTGTTGTTTTTTTTATGGTTAAACATTAGAAAAATTCTTTTATTTGTTCGTTCGTTCGTTCGTACATTTATTTATTCATTCATTTTTTCACTCATTCACTTACTCACTCATTCATTCATTCATTCATTCTTTTTTCATTAACTTAGTTATAATAAGAATGAAGCATCTTGCCATATTTTTACTTTTTACAATTTTTCCTCGATCCATCCATCAATCATTTAAATTTTTTTTTCTGGGAGCTGTTTTCATCATTGTTAACTCATTTAATTATTCATTCATTTATTCATTCATTCATTCTTTCTTTCTTTCACCAGTTTTTTTTAGACTCGATCCATCCATCCATCTATTTTAATTATTTCCAGCCACATCTCGTGCTACTGGTTTATTCATCAAGTCATTCGTTCATTATTTTTCTATCCGTCTATCATCCGACCATTCATTCATTCATTCATTCATCTACTTATTCATTTGTTTATTTATCATTCATCCGTTCAGTCAATCTTGGAATCAATCCATCCATTCGTCCATCATTCCGTGTATTAAGTTCATCAGTTCCTATGCTATCATTAATTCCTCTAACCATCTATCCATTCATTCATTCATTTATTATTCATTCATTCATCCATTCATTCATTCACCCGCGGCAGACTCAGGGCCCCATCGACCCGACGGCCATCGTCATACTTCCCAACACTGGGGGGATGCAATTGTTGCTCTGCTACGACAGTGAGTCGATCCTCTGATGATGATGATGACGATGATGATGATGATAATGATGATGATGGCAGTTGTGGTTATGATGGTGGTGATGACGGTGATGGTGATGATGGCGATGATTGATTGTTGCAATTTTCAAGAATAATTAACTAAGGTTGACTTAGTTATTTGGGTGTTCTTTTTTCTTTGTTTTTCTCCATCCATCAATTCATTTGTCTATCCATCCATCTATCTATCTTTTCATTTCGTTCATTTTTCTTTCCATCCATTCATCCATCCGTTTATCCTTTTAAATTTTAATTCATTTTTGGTTTTCAATTCCTTCATTAGCCATTGTTTGCGTCGTCTCAGTTACTCGTTCGTTCGTTCACTCTTTAACAATTCATACAATCATTCATTTATTTGCTGAATCATTCATTCACTTATTTCTTCATTCATTCATTCATCGACTATTTAATTCCTTCATTCACTCAGATGAAGGAGTGTACGTAGATACGAGTGGGAGAGTGACCAAGAATGTGGTATTGCAGTGGGGAGAGTCTCCAACATCTGTTGGTCAGTTAGGATGATGATGAGGAATGAATGAATGAATGAACGAATGAACGAACGAATGAATGAATTAACGAATGAATGAACGAAGGAATGAGTAACCACCACACCACCACCACCACGAACAGCCTTCATATCAACTGGACAAATTATGGGTTGGGGTCACAAGGCCATTGAGATAAGGGCTTCTGAAACTGGCCACCTGGATGGCGTGTTTATGCATCGCAAGGCCCAGAAGCTCAAATTCTTGTGTGAAAGAAATGACAAGGTTGTCGTTGTTGTTGTTGTTGATGTTGTTGTTGATTTTGTTGTTGTTGATTTTGTTGTTGTTGTTGTTGTTGTCTTCTCCATACATACGCACACACATGCATTCACTCGTTCATCATCATCAATATCATTACCACCACCATCATCACCACCACCACCTCCAGGTCTTCTTCTCTTCAATGCGAACAGCCGGATCGGCTTGTCAGATATATTTCATGACTCTAAACAAGCCAGGACTGAACAACTGGTGATGATGATGATGATGATCCAGG